GGGGCATTAGATCCTGACAAGGCCCAGCTTGCCCAGGGGCCAGGCCCACGTGTACCAGAATGGAGCAGCAGAGTAGTGGCCATATTTCAGTATTTCTAAACACTGCCCCAGGGGCTCCTGTGGTTTACACAGTACTTTACCTAAACAAGCTGCAAGAAAGACAGATGTGACTCCAGATGCCCAGAGCAGGGCCCGGTAGATCCAGGACTTCCACCTAGGTATCCCCTGTGGGAGGCACAGACCCCGGGGGACTGGCATCGCCATCTGCTCCCCAGTGTGTCCCGGAGGATGGGAACATCTGGTGTCTGGTTGCAGGCAAACAAGCTGTTGCTTACAAGTTGGGTCCCAATATGCCAGTTAGCTAGAGCTGGACTAGGCCGAAGCCAGGGTCCAGAACAGGGTCCACAGGTCTGGGTAGCAGTGACTGGACTGCTTTGTGCAGGGTGCACATTGTTAGGAAGCTGGTACCAGGCAGGGGACGTGGGAAGTGACCCCCCATCACAAGCAGGGGCCGTAACCACTCGTCCCAAACCCAGTTTTTATTCACTTTTCAAACATGCTACTAAAGAGTACCCCTCAGCTGCTGGGCAAGCGTTTGTAGCTCGTCTGATAGCAGGCGGGTTGGGAGCCCACTTCCACTAAGACCTGGTCCCTCCGAGGGACCGGGAGCAGGGGCACACAAACCCTGCTGGCTGGGCCTTTAGGGACACGGCAGAACATCTGACGCTGTGGGGCCCCACCCCAGGTTGTGAACACTGGCCGTCTGGACTACATTATCTCAAGTTACAGATGGAGATTTATACAGCACAGGCAAGGTGATAAAGCTTGGGACACAGTGGAAGGCATCAGCTAGCGCTCCTGGGACGGGCTGATCGTACTAGAAGGACCTGGGGCAGGCAGGGCTGCTGCTGGCAGTGTGGTGGTCCCGTTTAGGACCTGCATCCCATGCGGAGTGTGCCTGTGTTTGGGGCTTGGCCTCTGGCTCTTGCTTACACCCACCGTGGGAGACAGCAGGTGGATGGCTCGAGCCCTTGGGACCCTGCCCCCCATGCGGATGGCATTCGTGGCTCCTGGCTTCAGCCTGGCCCAGCTTGGCTGTTGGCAGCATTTGGGTAGTGAGCCAGGAGATGGAGCACCTCTTGGGCTCTCAAACCTGAGCTACAAACACAGGTTTGCTGGTAGGCCATGAACGGGCCCAACCTGGCAAGAGTGGCATATTAAAACCATGAGAAAGGGCCCGGCACGCCTAGTGGCTAAAGTCCTCACCTTGCACGTGCCAAGGGCTAGGCCACAGAGCCGGCCCAAGCTTCCCAAGAACAGGGTTCCAGCTGGAGTACCTGAAACACACCCTACAGCGGGGGCGGCGCTAGTGTGGGCATCAGAAAACTCGAGCCCTTTATGTGTGCAGGTATATGTGCGTGCGAGCGAGGGTGTAAAGCGTCTCAGGAGTGTGAGGGGCTGGCGTTGCACACGTCGCCAGCTGCACGTTGAAGATTTCAGATGGATACCCAGGCGATAGACAGGCTCCTGTGAGCCAAATGACTCCCGAGAACTTGCCTGGCAGCCAGACTGGCACATGCCATCCCACCCCTCAGGGCCAAAGGAGGCGGCCGACTCGTGGAGCATGCTGGGGCTGCCACAGGTGGCCAGTGCCCTCCTTCCCTCAGGTACCCCACCGGAGGTTGCCTGGGGTCAGGGTGTGACCCTGTGTGCTGGAGACAGGGCTCTGCCCCCAGGGACACTGCAGCCCCAGGCAGGCCAGCACCCAAGGGCCCTCAGGCCTCCACATCTGAGCAGCCTTCCCCCTGGCCGCCCGAGGCCCCACCCGCTGGTCGTGGGCGGCCATGTGTTCCCCCTGCCCACAGCGGCCTGCTGCTTCAGTCACCCTCACATCACCCAGGTGGCAGCCAGAGCCCCTGCCTTCTCAGTGGGCTCCTGCATCCTGCTGGGTGTGGGGGCCTTGCTAGCCACCCCCATCCCCACAGCTGGAGAAGGAACCCTGGGGCTGGGATGCAGTTCCTTCCACTCAGTGTCCTGTGCCAGCCCAGGTTTCAGGAGGTGCCAGGTTGAGGGGCAGACATCGTGAAAGAGGCCACTCCCCTGTGAGCTGGCCTTATCTCCCCAAACCCACCTCTGCCCTGCCCAGGTGGCAGTAGGCAGTAGCAACCCAGCCGAGCACTGGTCACTCAGAAAGTCACGGAGGTGGGCACCTTGCGCCAGCCAGCCCCAGTGAACCCAATGCCATCCCTCACCAACCCCAAGTGCATTCCTTAAGCATGATCAGGGTCACAGGGAGCAGGCTGCACAGGCAGGATGCCAACACCCTGAGCCTCCCTCCTCCCTGGAGACCTCAGGCACGGCCTACGTGGAGGCCTAGCCAGGTGCGTTTTCCCATGATGGCTGTAGCCTGCAAGCTCTTGAATGTATCCCAGACTTAGGCTTAGGGATGCTCCCACCCCTACCCTCTCCCTGTGCCACCAGGGGGCAGCACACACACAAAACCCAAGTTTGAGCACTGTGGCCACTTGTCCACCCTGTGTGGAGCTGACCAGGGCTGAGGGACTACGGCGTGGCCCCAACCCAGAGCTGCACGCTCAGTGAGAGCCTGGGGCTTGGAGGAAGGGCCCATAGGCAGGCCTGTCCTCCAGCCCTGCCCCCTGAAATTCCTTCTGCGCCCTCTAGTGTGAAGGCTCCCTCCCTAAGACCTTGCCAGTACCTTGAGCCATGACCTTCTGAGGAGGTCCTCAATCCTATGTTCCCCTGTAGCCAAACTGCACCCCCTCTGCTCACAGCCCTGCATGCCAGTCGGGCCCATACGCCTCAGTGCATCGGCCCCAAAGGGGTGTGGTTCCAGCCACCATGACAGAGCAGCTCATTTACTCCCAGGCAGCTGGGCAGGGCAGGGCTAGGGCCACAGGGCTGTCTGGGAGAGAAGGAACCCATGCCGCAGGGAGGTACTGCAAGCACTGTGTGAGGGGTGTGGAGGGTGGGGAGGGGAAGATACCATGGGCTTAGGTGCTCCTCCACTCACACAAGGTCCCTCCCGTGGAGTGCCAAGGGCCAGGAGCAGCACAGACCCACACACAGGGCCTCCACCTGGGACTGACCTTAATGAGACCAGGTCTCAGAGGCCTGTCTGCACACAGGTGCACCATACCTAAACACAGGATGTGCATGGGGCCCTGCGTGAGCCTGGTGGGACCTGGCGGGCCTGGGTATTTCTGGGAAGGTGGTCTTTCCCTAGCGCCAGCTTTCCAGTCTGCAGGGCAAACAGGCTCCCACTCCCCACCAGCAGGGGGCACTGATGGGCCACACAGGCCCTTTGTGAACGCATGCAGGTGCAGTGAGCTGCTGGGGACTAGTGGGTGGAGGTTCCTCCAAGTTCACCCCCTGCCCAGGCAGGGAGCAGCCAGGGTCAGCTGGGGTTCTGGAACCAGAACTTCAGAGATGGTTCCTTCAGGTCTGGGGTCCCCAGTGTCCAACCCCAGGCTCCCTGCTCCCTACCTTCCAGGGGGAGCAGCAGGGGTGCAGCCTGCTCTGCCCTGCTCCCATGGACCCGTCCCCACCCTCAGGCTGCCAACACGCACGCTGAACCCCTCCCAGTACCCCGAACTTTGGCTAGGCACCTGCACTACGTGGTTGGCTACTTAGGGAGAAGAAACACACGGGCCCCATCTAAGGAGTTTTGCTCACCGCGTGGGGCCTGCCCAGGACGGCCCGGGTCGGCACCACCCTGCAGAAGGGGGCGGCAGCTGCTCACGTGACAGGTTAGTCCTGAAGATCTCTTCCTTCTGGGGCTTCTTGCCACGCAGCTTTGGGGGCCACTTATGAACCCCCACACAGGGCTTACTGATCCACTCATGGCCAGGGACACTTTCTGAAGCTCAAGTCTGACGCCCTCAAGCCCAGCAGGGCTGCTTGCCTGGACCAGGTCCAGTCTAACCCACACTCTATCTGCTCCAGCAGAGAGTAGCCACAGTCAGGCCGGGAGGTTCACGCGGCTCCCCAAAGCTGGCCAACAGGCTCAGCAGGCAGGCATGGAGATGCCCAAAAGCCACACACAAGCACAATTGGCTAGGGGCCTGCCGAGAGGCATGCCCCAAGTTCCTGCTCTGTACCCACAGCCTTGGGCCATCCTGCCAGTACTGAGGCCCAGACATTCATGGGCCCTGGGTGGGTGGCCGTCCTGCCAGCAGTTTCCACGCAGGCCTGCGTGTGGGTGTGGACCAGGGCTCCAGCCAGTGAGCGAGCTGCACACACGACATTTCCCAGCCTGAGATGCCGTGGGGTACCAGGTAGACCAGTTGGTGGACAGAGGCTTGGGGCAGGTAGAGTCCTCAGCAGCTGTTCTAGGATGTGGGAAGGGTCAAGTGTCCCCATGGCAGCAAACCCACCCTTAACCCAGATCTAGCCTCTGCATGCAAGGTGCTGGGGCACAGACACAAAAGCTCTGGGATTCTGTTTATTTGATCATTTTAATACCAGAAATGCCAGACCAATCAACAAGGAAGACAAACCACACACAAACGCTTGTGCTCGTTAGGCGGACGGTGGCATCACCACGGCACTGGGCATGCGTTTCTCTTGGAGACAAGCGGCTGGCAGGATGCACGAATACCACAGGACAACCGGGCTCACGGAGGAGGAGCCACGCAGCCAAGGCAACCGGAAGTGTGAGATACAGACCTACACGATACAATTTACTTCACCGGACGTGTGGTTTGGGAATGAGAAGAAAGGAGACCGCAGTGCACACACGTGCAGGTGGCTGTGGTGGGGGCCAGGGCAGGCGCAGCCATGCACTGGAACAACTTGCCATCCACACTCCCTCCATCCCTGCCTAGCCCGCAGCACCCAGGATCACAGGTGAATCGGGGGGGCCTGGGGCCAGTCCCGCCTGGGTTCCCAGGACTGTTCTCTCAAGTAAACACCAGAACTCTCCTGGAATGGTAGCCTTGGGGGAGCAGGGTGGGACTGGGGACCGGGCAGAGGAGGAGGTGCAGCCTGCAGGGCCGGCCAGGACTGGGCTGGCTGGGGGAGGAGCCGTGGTTGCGGCCCCTGGTGCAGCAGGAGGGTGGTGGAGGCGGCCATGTGTGCGAGCAAAGCTGAGCAGCGAGGCGAGCCGTGCGTGCCGGCGGCCATCGCCGGCCCCTGCTCAGAACTGGCTGGCGCTGCTCGGGTCGCACTGCAGCAGCCGCACGATGGATGGGTCGCTCTTGGCACCTTTGATGAATTCCTCCAGGGACAGCTTGCCTGCGGGAGAAGCTAGGATTAGCTGGACAGCACCTGGTCTCCACACTGCACCTGTGCTGGCCTCCTTGGTCCTTGCCCTGCACCCCTGTCCTGGGAGTAGCTACAGGTGCACACATGTGGAGCTCACGGGCTTTGCTGAGCAAGAAGCCGACATCCACAGAGGACTCAGCCTACGCTTCCCAGCAAAGAGCAGCTTTGTCCGCAGAGAGTATAGCATGCAGGTCCAACCCAGACACGCTCAGGGCTTCAAGGCCCATCCTGCCTGGGTGGTGCCTGCAGCCCAGGGCCCCTCTCCTGGCTGCAAGGCTCTGCTTGGCTCCAAGTTAGCTTCCTGCCTCCTGTGTGGGCCACTACCAAACAGCGTGGCTGGCCAGGCTACAGCATCCCTCCTCCTCGTTCCTCCTCCACCACCATCCTAAAGCTTCCTGATTCCAAGGTGCTGTGCCAGGTGTACAGCCTAGTGGCTGACACACCTGTGACCAGTGTCGAAGGACCTGGTCTGACTCCAGGTCCCTGCTACTGCACCTGGGAAAGCAGCAGATGACCGAGTCCTCGGGGCCCCTGCACCCCCCGTGGAGGCCTGGATGGAGCTCTGGGGGCTCCTGGCTTTGGCCTGGTGCTGGCATCCGGGGAGTGAACCAGAGGCCAGGAGTTCTGTTTTCCTCTCTCTGCCTCATACGAGCACTTCCTCAACAGACATGTTGAGTTCTCACTTCCAGGATGCAAAAGAGCCTGGATGACACCCAGGCTCACGAGGGGCTCTGCGGCGGCAGGGTGGGTCAAGCCCATGTGCTCCCCACTCTACAGTTCATTTATTGGAAAGGCAGAGTGAGAGAGAACAGAGATCTTCCACATGCTGGCTCACTCCCCCAAATACGTACAACAGCCATGCTATGCCAGGCCAAATCCAGGAGGCCCGAATTCCTGTCCAGACCTTGCTTGGCAAGCACTGGTGCCATCCCCTGCTGCCTTTGGGGTATGCAGAAGCATCAGAGCAGGAATTCAACCAGGCTCACCCCTAGGATACAGGGGTGTCCCAGGCAGCGCCTACCCCTCCACCATGATGCTCGACAAGACCACACCATCCACTCTGCCACTGCACGAGCGACACACACCCTACTAATCACGCCCACTCAGGTCTGGCCATCCGGGAGCAAGGTGGCCTTAGCAGGCAGCATCCTGCCTCTGCCCGTGCAGCCATCAGGATAAGGGCCAGGGTCGTGGTGAATTCTGTGCCCTCGTGACCAGAGCTTTTGAAGAGACCATAAAAGCTGCAGCCACACGCACTCTGTCAGGCAGCCACATGGGACACAGATATACAAACAGAACTGGCAAATGCATACAGACCACCAAGCAGAACTCGCAGTCTGGCTGCACACACACACACACACACACACACACACACACACACACACACACACGGAAGAAAGCCATGCCCCAGGGCTCATGGCCTGCCTCCCAGCAGCCCCTCCTGGAGCCATGCACAGACTACAGCGACAGCTTCCCACAGGGACACTGGGGGGATATAGGAGGGGCTCTGCCCAATCCAAGCTGGGGACCTGAGGGGGGCTCCCCATCACACCAACCCTCCACTTGCACACAGCCTGGCTCACACCTATGGCCTGGGCCAGTACAAGCACATCCTGGCTTAATGGGCGTGGGCCCTGGAGAGAGCCCATCAGCCAAGCCCAGAGGCCTGGGTGAGCCGGCTGGGTGCCTCCAGGCTGGCCAAAGACCCTGCCTGAGCAGTCGGGTCTCTGGGAGGCCTCAAGGGATGAGGACTGGCCCCTCCTTCTCAGTGTCATCCTTCTCCTCTCCCCTAGCTCCAGGGACAGGTAGGTCCCCCAGGCTCACAGTCTGTGGGCACCTTAGCAGGTGGCCTGCACTTGTAACATGTACACACTGGTGGGATGGCCCCATGGAGGGGGCCCGAGCGGGTGGCCCAGGACACTGCAAGGCTGGAACAGCAGCCGCCACTCATGGGGTGCCCAGCAATGTGCTGAGAGAGTCACAGCTCATGGAGGCCTTGCAGCCACCCAACACTGGATTCCCTGTGCCCATTTCACAGAGTGGCAAACTGGGCTTGGGAGGCACAAGCTCAGCGCAGGGCTGTCAGGACCCAAATCCATGTTTCACGGAGTTGGAGAGTGCCAAGCTGGCCTCGTGGCAACAGAGGGCACAGGCTGGGTTCTTTCCCGGGTGCACACCCTCTGCTAATGGCCACCTTGCTGCCCGCTGCCAACAGGTCCTGGGAGGTGTCGCAGCAGGCTAGGTCGCTCACCTGCAGAGCCACCTGAGTCCCAGCAGGAGCCAGTGAGCCTCCTGCTCAGTGCTCACTCCCTCTGGCTCACGCGCGACTGGGCCCAGGCTCTGGGCTTCCTGCTCCACAGCCCACAAGATGCGCAGAACCAGGCCCCAGTGCAGCCTCCCCTGCCAGGGCCCTCTCTGCTGGTACAAGCCAGAAATCTCTGAGCATCCTTGGGGTCACTGGCGCTCTCCCCTTAGCCCCAGGACTGTGTGGTCCCTGGCAGACGGGGCTGTCATTCACAGCCCAAGGGGTGCCCCTGGGTCACCTGGGATAGCTCACTTCACAGAGGAAGCAAGAGGTGGGACCTTCACACACGTGGCACAACACTGCACCCACGCATAATGTCACAAGTGCACACACAGCCACGCGCCTCTACGCACGTCACCACTCGTGTGTGCCTGTTCACACACAGCATCACACCCACGCTGGCACGTGCTCACTGCCTACCGTCATTGTTGGTGTCCATCTGCCTGAAGATCTTGTCCGTTCGCTTCTCGGGCGTCGACTCATCCTCCGGCATTTTCATCACGGAGGACACCATCTTGTAGATGGCCTGGAAAGGGGTGGACAGCGGGCCTGCTCAGACTGTGCCCAGCGGGCTGGGGAGCCGAGTGTCACCGTGACTGGGGTCCCTGTTATTCTCACCGAAGGGGGCATGCGGTAAAGGAAGCTAGGCATGTGGGGGGAAAGTCAGGGGTGGGGCACCATGAGCGACAGTGCTGGGCACACAGGGGCACACAGTCAGCCCACATGGAGTTCCCAGAGCCACTGATCTGGCCAAGCTCAGATAGAAAATGTTAGAAATATAGTGCCTTTAAGTTGAGCAGGTGCAGGCCTGCACAATATGGTGTGTCAGCCAATGATACAGCATTCCCAACTGGGGTCCCTTCAGCGGACTCAGAGGCCCCAGAGGACAAGGCCAGGTTTGGTATCTGCTACACTGCAGCCCTGCTCCCAGAGGAACCCCCCGACCCTGGGCAGGGGCCAGCCACTCGTGCTGCCCAGCGTCCCAGCCCGCACACCTGCACGATCTCCAGCATCTCGCTGCGGCTGATGTAGCCGTTGCCGTCCAGGTCATACATGCTGAAGGCCCACTTGAGCTTCTGCTCCAGCTTGCCCCGTGAGGTCACACTGAGCGCGATGATGAACTCCCGGAAGTCAATGGTGCCATCCCCGTTGGTGTCGAAGGTGCGGAAGACGTGCTCGGCGAACTTGGAGGCGTCACCATAGGGGAAGAAGTTGGCATAGATCTTCTTGAACTCGTCCACGGTCAGGTGGCCGGTGGGGCAGTCCTTGAGGAAGCCCTTGTACCACTCCTGCAGCTCGTGGTCCGTGAACTCCGTGTTCTCCCGCAGGTCCTGCAGCACCTCGGGCCGCAGCTTGCTGTTCTGTTTGCCCATGGTGCCCGACGGCGGCAGCTATGCCTGTAACACACACATGGCCAGCGGGGGGATTACCGCAGAGCAGGGCACAGCCATGTCCCCATGCCTCCCGAGCCTGCCAGCAGCCCTGCTTCTGGATGGTTCTTTCCTCTTTGTGGGTAAGAGGGGAGACCATGTGATGTTTTTGTCCTCAAGCTCTGTGCGGCACCCTTCTTGGCTAAGCAGTGAAAGGTGCCCTGAGTGTTTCTGGTGGGAAAGGAGAGCCCAGCTCCTACGTCTTGAGGGCGTGGGGGGCACGTGCGGCCTGACCCCGGGCACCCCAGTCTTCACCTCCACCTCCCCGCCTCACTTGTCTACAAACTCCCACAGCTCCATGGTTAAAAAGGGCAAACTCAGTGTGGGTCTCCCACGCTGGCCCAAGAGGGCACCCTGGGGGCTGGTCAGGAACCCACTGGAACTGCCCTACACCCCACTGCCCCCTCTTCCACCCACCCCAGCGGATGCAGCCACACTCAAGGTCCTTACTGAACCTCTCTGCGGGGGCAGCGCAGTTCACACAGTCACCCCGCCCCTCCCAGCAGCGCTGAGGTGAGACGTGCCAGCCTGGGCGGCGATGCCACTGCCTGTAGCACTGGCCATGGCCACCGATCACTCCTGGCCACTGCTGGGCACTTGTCCTTAAGAAGTCAGCTACAAGGTGAAGCTGTGTGATGGCGCAAATCAGCTAATCCACTCCTTGCAAACACTGCACCACATGTCCCGGCTGCCCCATCCAGCTCCCTGCGTGTGGCCTGGGAAAGGACTCAAGGACAGCCCAAAGCCTTTGGACCCTACACCTGCATAGGAGACCCAGAAGAGCTCCTGGCTTTGGATTGGCTCAGCTCCAGCTGTTGCAGCCGCTTGGGGAGTGAACCATCGGGTGGAAAATCTTCCTCTCTGTCTCGCCTCCTCTCTGTATATCTGCCTTTCCAATAAAAATAATAAATCTTTTTAAAAAATTACTTTGAAGAATATATTTTTTTAAAAGTAAGGCTGAAGCCTCCTGGGGCTGTGTGCAACAGCAGGATGCTCTGTGGCTAGAAGTGCTGGTGCCGAGCCTGTCTCTTCCCAGCCCATGTGCACATGTGCCTGGCGCCCCCAGGTGCTCCTGACAGGTGACCCTCTTCCCCCCACCCCTGCAGTTTCAAAAGATGGCCTCTCCCCTGCAGATCCACGAAGCTGATAAATGCAGCCACAGAGGGCCACTTGGCATGCTTAGTGAGGACCCAGATGGACTCCGAGTACGGGGGCAAGGGGCACGGGGAGTCTGGAGCCTGCCAAGGATGGGATGCCAGACACCACTGCCTACAGCTCTCAGCAGAATCAGCCGAGGCAACCTGACTCCATTGATCTCGGTCCCACTGGCATCTTGGAAGAGGAGAGCCTGGCTAAGGTACGGGATCCCCAGGGTGGGGTGGGGGGCGGTCACCCCCCACTTGGCTTCTAAAGCTTCAAGCAGTGCTGGGAGCAGACAGGCAGCAGATTTCTGGAAGCATCTGAGACACTTTAATTCCCTGTCATGGGTGGTAGTGGGTGGTGGTGGTGAGGTGTGTGAATGTGGCACTTACATGGGCTCCAGGAATCCAGTGCCCATTAGTATTCTTAATGAGCTAACTTGTATAACTGTGGAGCCCGGTGGCAGCATTTAACCTGCAGGGGGCACCGCTTGCAAGTGCCAGCCTTCTCAGCCAATTGTACCAGCTGCTAGGGGAGGCTGGCAGAGCCCTGGGCGTGCACATCACATAACAAGAGCCTGGCAGGGGAGGGAGCAGGCGACAGTCCCTCCCCACTCTACACCGCTTGATCAGGCCACTCCCCAAAGCTTGCCAGAACTCCACCGCTCTCAGGCAGGACACTGGGAGAGGTGTGTGACTCGGACGGCTGATCAAAGTCCCAGCTCCTGAGGAGGCTGCAGGGCAGTGGTGCTGCCTTTGAACTTCAAGGCTGCTCTGTTCCAAACAAGAGGGTGGGAGGCAGCGCAGGGGCCAACAGGCAGGCTGTACTCCTCTTACTCAGCCTTCCTAACAAGCAGGCGAGATTAATCCACAGGCAGCCTGGGCATCCACGGATGTTCTCCAAGGAGGGGCCAGTCCTGGTCCACCGTGTGCATGGGGCAGGTGCACCGGGGAGGGAGGGATGATGTAATGCACTGAGGGGACAGCAGAGGGCACCCTTGGGCACTTTCACCAGCCTGAGCTCTGACAACTCCCCCCCCCCCCCACTTACCCAACCCACCCCCTGTCACTCCTGCACCTTGCCTTGGTCACAGCGGCCTCCTGTCACAGGAAGGTATGGGGCACCTGAACTCAGGTGTGTGCCCACAGGGCATCATGCAGGTGGGATCTGATGGCTTAATATGGAGAAAACATACTGGACCATCTCTAACAATTTCTCCTGAACACACGGGGGAGATGGCAATTGTTGCTAGCATCGGTCTCCCTTGTTTATTTTTAGCTTTGCCATCAGCCTGCAGGGAAAGAGAACCTAGCAGATGCTGTGGCTCCTGCTACATTTCTAGCAGACAGAGCTTGGTGGAGGTCTGTCCTATCATAGTGGATAATGCCAGCCAGGGATGTTGGCTCTGGGGCCAGTGACAAGGGCGCTTTTCAAGTTTATTGGCACCCGTGGCATGCTGGATTTATTTCACTCTGTACTTCAACTAGGCAGGAGCCCCCACGGTCTCTCCTCTCAGCAGAGTGTCCACCAGAGAACCACAGCCCCTGTGGACCAGATATTTGACCCGAGCTAAGGGCTCCGCGTTGGGGGGCATTCCTCCTCTCTGTGCTACACAGAGCCCTTGGGTCAGAGCTGGTGCAAGGGGCGCTAGACAGCTCCCTGTGGCTGGAAGCCCATAGGGAGCCTGCCTGCTCGGCCAGCAGATGGAGACCTGCCCTGCTTCTGCCCCAGCAGTTGAAGGGTCCCCAGGACTCCCCCACGTGACTGTGCTCCTTGGGGTCACCTCTCCCGGCCCCCCTGCTGCTCCCCATACAACTTCCGGCAGAAATTTAGTACTCACTGCCCCCTTTCCCCTGTCTTTCTCCTACACAGGACTGCAAGTTCTCCATGGATAAAGAGCACCTTGGTCATACCAACAGGGAAGCTGCCAGCTCAGGGGCCTGGGCTCAGCAGGGAGGGCTCCCACCTCCCTGCTCTTCCTCCCACTCTGTGCCCGGGAGAATTAATCAGGGCTGGGAGGGCTTTCTCTGGATCCTGCCTGTTCTTACACCGTGGACCCCTCCGTTACTGGGGTGACAGGGGCGTGAGGGTGAGCATCTGTCGCTTGGGTCTGACGCTGCACAGAAGGTTTATTCGGACTTGGCTTTTTGGGACTCAGCAGCTGCAGCAGAGTCCGGATGGAAGCGACAGAGCAACAGGGCTTGGCCATGCCTGCCCTGCTCACCCAGGCATGGGGGGCACACACAAACTGGACCACTGTCGGGGTCACTGAGCTTGGCCAGGGGTCAGGCAGGGATAGATAAGTCCCCCATGTCAGTACCTAGACCAGGCTGCTATTACACCTCTGCTAAACAGGCCCACAGAGCCAGCTTCCGGGGCCACAGTCCAGATAGTGGCTGTATCCGTGAGGGGCAATACAGGGCAGGAGCTGCCAGAGCCAGCCAGGTCTCCTCAGCCTCGCCCCTCTCTGGTCACCTGGGCTGGGCTGTCTCTTGGTTACCTGCTTCAGATCCAGCTCCCTGCTAAGTGTACACTGGGAGGTAGTGGGTGATGGTCTACGTGCTTGGGCCTCAGCCACCCACCTGACAGAGCCCCATGGAGTTCCTGGCTGGCCCAGCTCTGGCCGTTGTAGCCACTTGGGGAATAAGCCAGTAGGTGCAGGCTCTCCCTCCCTCCGTCTTGCTCGCTCTGCCTTTACATACATAAATAATCTTTGAAAAACAAGCCAACAGCCCAGTTGTTGTGGTCTGGAGGGCACAGCCCGGAGCCAAAGCAGCCCAGACACATCCTGCTAGGGCAGTCAGCAAATTCCAACTCCTGGGCTTCAAAGGGACAGTATGGACAAAACACAGGGACAACCAGGTCAGCAGCGCATGCCAGAGCCGGCAGCAACACGCAACGGCCGAGGCACACACTGCTCCAGCTGCGGGGGGACAGAGGCCCCCGAAGCTCACCGGACATGGCGAGGCTGGCAGCAACGTGGGAGGACAGCAGTCTCGTTTCCCACAGCAGGACATACCTGGTCCGGCTGCCGATGGCTTTGGACCCACCAGAAGGGGAACGTCAGGTGCTGTCTGCACCCAGTGGAGCCCTGTTTCATGGAGGGCAAGGAGAGCCATGGCTGTACAAGGAGGTAATGGGGCCTCTCCCAGGGCCCCCATTCAGCAGAAAGCTGGGAGGTCAGATCTGTGTGCAGTAGGGCTGCCCAAGGAGCCTTAAACATGAGCATACATACACACCACACACATCAGCCGACACACCCACAGCCAGCACACACACACACTCCATCCCACGCACAGGAACTCTGTATGCCCCATGACACACGTGCCCCTTCCCCGACTGGCATGGCAGCTGCCCACTGGCATGACCAATCACCACCGATTTTGCAAAGGCTTCAGCCCCCTGTCCATCTCCCAGTGGGAGGGAATGCCTTTCGGGATGGAGCTTCTCTGAGCAGCACCCTTCCCAGAACAGTGGGCCAAGGCCTTTAGGATTTCACTCCCAGGACCTTCCTATGTGTATTGAGAATATAGGTCAGGTTTTCTGCTGCCTGCCCTGCACGCCCCTTAGCAGGCCCTGGCATGGAGGGAAGCACCAGGGTCAATCCCAGCTTAGACTGCCCAGGCACCTGAACGGTCTGCTTCCCCAACCAGCGGCAAAGAGGAGCCGATCCCGGCCGCTATGCTGAGGGCGTGTGGGGTCTGTGCACTGGAGGGCACGGTCCACCCTGGGACATGCTGCCCGTGCCAAGCTTACGGGCCTTGCTGGGGCCCACTTCCAACTCAGCACATCTCAATCCATATTCTTTTTGTACTTTTCCTAACCTCGGGAGAATACAGCCATGCTTTTGGACTCAAGCTCAAAGTCTTGAAGAAGAAATAAAATCAGTGTGAAGCCACTCCTGATGAACAACCAGAGCAGGTGCTTGGCAAGAGACAGTGAAGGGTAGGTGGGCCCTCACCAGAGGCCGTGTGTGCACGTGCACCATGACCACTTGGGATTCTGTAGGGGCATGGCATCACAAGGATTCCCTTAATCCACATTCACTGAGCACCCAGGAAACAGAAGGGAGATGCCCCCATCGCAGTGAGGGTCTGGGGGGCACAGCAGCCCCCGGCTGGGCCAGGATCCAGCCTCCTGTCCTGGAATTTCCAGGCTGGGCTCCAATTTCCCTGACCTTCTCTGAACCCCCATGCCATGGGGCTGGGCTCCAGGACCCAGGGCATGGCGATCCCACAGCCAATCAGCACACGCCTGCAACACCAGATGCAGTGATTGTTTAAGGAGAGGAAGAAAGGAAGCCAGTGAGCAAGGAAAAGGGCAGCCCCGGGGCACCCCTCGTACAAAACCTCCGGATATAAGCAGGGCTGGGGGGTCACGGGGCAGCTCGCTGGCCACTGAGCACTGTCCAGGGAGCCCTCCCTGTGAGGCCTGGGGGCTTCTGGTCCAGCTTTGGAGAAAGCCCCCTGGCCACCAGGCGCAGCAAGCACCTGCTCAGCTTTGTCCATGTCATCAGGCTTCATCGGCCCTCGGCTCTGTCCCCACCCCACCACAGCACTGAGCAGTCTGGCTGACGGCCAGGTGGGGGGCCCAGGCCCCCCACCTCATCTGGGGTCTGACTTAGTACCTCACATAGGACCCCGCCTGGGGCAGGGGTCGGGAGGTGCCAAGGGATAGGGTGCCAGCACGCTGGCTCCTGTCCTCCACGAGGGCTGTGGCTGATGAGATCAGACCAAGCTAGGGGTGTGTGTTCATGCGTGTGCATGGGTAGGCACACTGGTCCATGGTGCTCATCACAGCTGATGTCAGAGGGGACACCCACAGGAAGTCATGATGCAAAGTCATCCCAAGCTACCCTACAAATAGCCCTTGATTGACAACACGGGAAGGGTAATGCCTTCCCTGATGCCAACACCGCCAACCTCCCCTCCAGAGGCTGTGTTGGAAAAGCCAGGGACATCCACTTAGGACAGTCTGCAACCTGGTCACCTGGTCGGCCCTCCACTCCAGCTCAGACAATGGTTGCTAGCAACGTCAGAAACAGTGACCCCTGAACACCATACGCTGGGTTCCCTTGCTAAAGGTCCCAAGGGCCTGTGGTGTCATGTGCTTTGGCGTTGCTGGGACACTGCCTGAGCCAGCTTGCCTCACCAGCCAGGGCTGCAAGCACCAGGCCCAGATCTGACCACCTCACTCATCCCCCAGCCACGTGAACTGGCTGTGCTCCCAGAACCACAGGCCCTTCACACAGGATGCCCCCCTGCAGGTCTCCGTGCCATCACTTCCCAGCTCAGTGCACGCAGGGCAGGTGGGCAGGACGACTTTCCCCTTCAAGTCCTCCTTCATGGCCACCTCTGACAAGGGTCCTGCTGAGCTGCACGTGATGCCTTGGGGCCAGCAACACGGGGAAATACACAATAATGAGCCGCCTGAGTAGTCCTCCCTGGCCCTGGCCAAGCTGACATGGCCTGCCTAGCCCAGGCCTACTGACCCGCTATGGCCACCGTCCTGCAAAGACGCAAAGTCAGACCAGTAGGGACAGCCCCAGGCCCTAGGCCTTTCTCCCACAGGCCCCTGGGTTGGACCCAGGAGCAGCAGACAGAGGGGGTGAGGCTGAGCGTCCCACACCTGTGCCCAGGGCAGGTTGAAGCAGGTTCCTTGTTATCAGTCTTTCAAGGAGATGGGATCAAGGAGCCCCAGGGCCCAAATGTCATCGGGGTTGGTCCCTGGGACCACGGACAGGTGTGGCCCACTCTGGGATGGTGGATGCCCTGGAGCCAGCTGCTGGACCCAAGCCCTTAAGGATGCTCACTGGGGAACTGGTGGGAAGAAGGGATGTGCCATCCCAGGAAAGGGATCCTTGTGGGCAGAAGAGGGAGTCAGGGACGGCTGAGTCCCCAACACTGGGCCTGCTGGACAGCCAGTTCTTTGTGATGGGGTATGGTAGCCATAGGCCCATACAAAAGAAGCTTCTGGAACTCGCAGACAGGATGTCACCCCTGCCCCGGGCCTGCAGAGGACTCACCTGAGGCCAAGCAGAGGCTGGAGTGCAGCAGGGGGCAGGGCCTCCAGAGGCTGCTTCCACGTCCTTGGCCAGGCCACTAGACCATGCCCCTGGAAGAGAGGATGGACAGGTCACACAGGACATGGACACCCTGGCCCAGAAACCACCACCTGCCCTCTGGTGCTTGCCCAATGGGGAGACCCCAGCTTCTGTAAGGTCCAGGGGAGATGGTGGCTGCCCCTGGGTGCAGAGGGCCACGTTTATCACAAAGCCAACATGGTGCTGAGGGCGGCTGTGGTTCCACAAGCTGCCTTAAATATCCCAGTGTCACCCTCAGCAGGTGCCCAGGGACTCCACAGGCATAGCCAAGTCCAGGCCTGGCCCTTGGCTTCCTGTGGGGGTGTCACAGGTATCATGGAACCCTGCACACCCAGGCCTGCCTGGGACCACTCTAGCCTGCACCCAATACCATGAGGAAGCCCCTTCAGGGTCCCTTATCACCCCTGGCTTCATCCCTGAGGCCCAACTGCCCCCACCAAGCCTCCCTGGCCCAGGGCGTGGAGAGGAGCCACCCCAAGACACACTGGGAGAAACAACCGTGTATGCACTGGGCCCCAGTGTAACCCTAGTCCCTCCTCTCGGCTCGGGGTACACGGTGCCCCGGGCGTTCCTCCGAGATCGAGAGAGAGGATACGACGAAGGGTCGAAGGGTCGTCCCGGGAAGCTGGCCAGCTGATTAACCTAAGTGGGACGTATTGTAAGCCATTCCTAAACTGGTAGGAGAGGGAGTTTTATTTTGAAATATAGTTAGGTTTTAGATTTATTTTTTAGTATAGTTAGGTCTTGATGGTTAATTTATCCTGCAAAAAGGACGATAAAATGGGTTCAGCCTTCTCCCAGGGTAAATTAGTCACCGAGCTTGAAGAACTTCTGCATCAAATGGGGAACGCTGTTGGTCAGAAGAGGCTGACCGGAGAATTACGCAATTCAAGCAAGGTTGATTAAAACAAAGAAACGTGTTCTGTAACTTAACAAAAATAATCTGATATAGAGTGGTCCAAATTCACTGTTAAATTAACTTACAGCATGAGATGAACCCAAGTACTTGTTTTATAAAATATCTCCAGGTCAAAGTAAGTCGAGGAAGAGGTTGGAAATCGCAAAGGGTTGAAGAGTTACATGTGTCTGTTCTGACGTGTTCGGTGTTTGTGCATATGTTTGTTCAGTCGTTACTGTTGGTGTTCTATTATTTTTGTCCAGACAAAAACTAGATTTTGTTTTAATACTCTCTCTTCAGTTCTATCTTTGTCTTGAATTGTTAAGTTGTTCTTGTTCTGAATTGGGTGCGTGTGTGACTGACTGAGACGAGATGGGACGGACCATGACTGACCCCCTTTCTCTCTCCTGGTAACTAATTTTAGAGAGTCTAACAGTTTAACAGGCCCTGGCCAGACTCCCCACCTCCACCAGGGAAAGGTGCGTATGACGTTTTCTTACTGCTTGGTCTTCAGCTTACAGTGTTGTCCTGGCATTGATCAGGTCTAACACACCGTACATGTTCAGTTAAATGCTGAAGGTAATTTTTGTTAAACTCACTTAGACCTCTAAATTCTTCAGTTCTAAACCAAGTCTCATGACTTTGAGAGTTCCAGTAGGATCCCTGGAAGTCTCAAAGATTGAGACAAAAATTTGAATAATATAATTGTCATTCAAAATAATTTGATTATAATCTCATAATATTATAAAATTATGCTAAATTTGTTGCGTCACATATGCTATTAAATAGATGAATATTTATGCTCATTGGTTGAAATGTTTCCTACTCATGAAATTAATCCTGATTGTTAATTAGCTGCGTTCTTACTTACAAGGAAGTATGTGAGATTTTGCCTTACAGGAAAACAACAAATTCTTCTAAATTGTAGAGTGAAATTGGTCATAATGTGTATATTTTCTGGATGTTTGCCTTTAAAACAAAAGAATTGAAGTCTGATTCCTTGTGAGAAACAAGTGTTTTAACATCTCTTTTTAAGTTATTTTCATCTTATTGATAACTCACTTCAGTAAATTCCTGGGTAATCTCCCAAGACAACAGCCAAATTAAAGTTTTTTCAGCTCTCTTGATTTCATAAAACAAAAGCTAAGGAGAAGCTCCAGGCCCTCCAGCCATAAAACAAGGGAGGGCCATGCTTGGAGCCTGCCCTTCCAAGAATTTGGGACCTTTGACCTTGTCCCTGTTGTAGTGATTCTTACCTGCCTTCATTTCAAAAGGGGTAAATTCCCAAATCAGCTAGAAGAAGGTTATTTGAAAAACTTCTCATTCCCGGTTTTGAGGAGGGTTTGTGTTAAAATGTGTTTCCATGAATTGGGAGAAATGGTTAAAATTGCTTAAAGCCACTGTATTTAAAAGTTGGTAAGTTTTTATTTTTAAAATGTAGCGTTGCTTGTAGAATATTTTGTCCTACAGGGAAATGGCAGTCATAGAATGAAGAGGGAAAGCTAGGACAAAGTACTTAAAGGTTTAGGTATGTCAGAAAGGTTAAGAAATGAATCTTGTAAGCTTTATATAATTGGCTATAATTTTACAGATACTATTACAACATTGTTTAAGTTTTTAACATTAATACCTAATACATGCTGACGTTAGAATTGATATCTGTGTTCAAAAAGTTTTTTGCAGTGTGCATACATAAAAATGCTAGTAAATATCTAAAAAATATCTCTAATTTTGAAAGCTGTTAAAAAATTGAAGCATTGAACTTTAGGTAGTCTCTGTTCAATTAGTGATTTTGTCAGTTGTTCATCCAGCTTCAGTAAGCTCTATTCTTGTTCCAACCTTTGAATTTGTTAAAATCCTTAAAAAGTTGAGATGAGTTTATGCACCAATTCCTGTGTTTAACTCTCATGATTAAAACAGCTGTGTTTCCAAGGGTATCTTCTGATATGTGTTTACTGTGAAATGTTTGGGTGAGCATTTACAATTGATAAAAATTTTTCATATGTTATTGTTCGAATCAGTCTGACTAAATGGATAGAAATTACAGTGAGGAATCTTTGATCAGATACTTTAAGGCTTCTTGGAGTATTTAATAAGTTTAACTCCTCTGGTTTTGGGATTTCTAGATGGGTCCCTAGCAGCCTCAAAGTCAGAATGTGTTTCGAAGGTTGTATCTTTCATTTGTAAAGTTAATTGTAGGACAGACAACTGATTAGATCTGCAAAAAAAAAAAAAAAAAATTGGGGGCATTGCTAAAATTTAATAGTAAACCATAGGTATGGTTTATTCAGGTTATTAAGAGCAAAATGTAATTCTAAACAACTGGTAACTTTTTTTTCTTTTTCATTTTTTTTAACATTTATTTATTTTTATTACAAAGGCAGATATACATAGAGGAGGAGAGACAGAGAGGAAGATCTTCCGTCCAATGATTCACTGCCTAAGTGAATGCAATGGAGCCGAAGCCAGGATGAACCTCTTCCGGGTCTCCCACACGGGTGCAGGGTCCCAAGGCTTTGGGCCGTCCTCGACTGCCTTCCCAGGCCACAAGCTGGGAGCTGGATAGGAAGTGGAGCTGCCAGGATTAGAACCGAGCCCATGTGGGATCCCAGTGCGTTCAGGGCGAGGACTTTAGCCGCTAGGCCATGCCGCTGGGCCTGCACTATGAGATTCTTCAATGTTAGTATTTTCAACAATACTTATACACTGTTAAGTATGTCTTTTTGAATCACCAACCAGCTTGCCACCATCATTATTAAGGTCAATGAGACCTGGGTGCTGCTCATGTCGAGGAAAGTTATTGTAAATGGCATTAGACTGGTAGCAGGGATGTTTAAGGAATGGAGCAGAGTCTTAGCCTTGGGACTGATGGTCGTGGCCATGATTGCAGTGTTGTTTCCTCTTTTCTGCCGCCTACGCAGGCAACAAGCCCGAGAGCAGGTCATCATTTGACAAACCATGATGGCCTTGGCTGTGGAAAACCCTAGTGCTCAAGTCTGGCTGAGCATGATACATAATAGGCAGCCAAAGACGGGTAAGAACTGGCAGAGCTGATGACCAACCTAAGACAGGGATCCCGCATGCATTGGGCGGGCCTCCCCATGATGGGTAAGGCGTCAACTGACTGCTGGACAACCTGACAGGCGTCCATTAAGAAACAAAAAAAGGGGGATATGCAGGGCCCAGTCTCCCTAGGGTTAACTCCACAGCTTAGCTTGTTTCTCAAGGGGTAACAGGATGTACAATCTTGGTCTGATACAGTTAGCCCCTGGCTTGACCCCAAATTCCCTCTTCCCTGCTTCCACTTTTTTAAGATGCCCTCGGGGGAGCTTAGGAGTTTGCTTGAGCATTGGGAAAGTACTGGGAGGAACTAGGCAGACTAAAAATGCAGGCTGAAGTTCGAATAAACGGCATTCTCTTTACAAGAATAACCCACTGTGTGTTGTCTGTTTTGTAACCCCAGTCCCTCCGCTCAGCTCGGGGTACACGGTGACACGGGCGTTGCTGACACTCCAGTGAGCAAGGGCACAGTCGGCCTCCGGGTGCCCACCCTCAGCTTTACCCAGAACCTTCCACCTGGCTGTGTCATGCAGTCCTGACGCTCCAGCACCCAACCCATTCTCCATCAAGGACCCCTCCCCAGGTACCTGCAGACCCGTGTACACTGCCACCAGCACCCTGGGAGCACACACCTCACTGAACACTTGCTCTCCCTGCCCTTGTTTGCACGGTGCATTGGGATCCTCACAAGGGTCTAAGCAGCAAGCAGAATCATCACCCATTGCACAGATGGGGAAATTGAGGCATCGAGAAGTCAAGTGCCACCATGAGGGTCCCTGCTGGGCTGCACAGAGCACTCTCACTGTCCCAACCCTCCAATTTCCACCTTGCCCCCATCTTCTGGAGGCGCTGCCGAGGTCAGGGCCCCTACAAAGGCAGAAAGCCAGGAATGGTGCCGGCAGCGGTGGGAGGCGCCAGGTGCACTGTGCCCTAGCAGCTGCCAGGAAGCCGCCCTGGCAGGGGAAGCCCAGTCTCTCCCTGAGTTTGCTGAGCAGGAAATCAGCCCCAGGGGCTCTGCTCCTCGCAGGGCTCACGGAATTCAGGGAGGAATCA